CCGGGGCTGGCATGCGGGGGGGTGGCTCGGGGGGAGACCAGTCCTGTGGTCCGGCAGCCCTTGGGCAGGCTGCTGCCTGTGCAGGCGATGCTGCGGCAGTGCCTCCTGCCACTCCGCGCTGAGCCCGGGGGTCCCCAGCAGGATCATCCCGCGGTGATGGTTTTCTCCATATCTGTGGGCCAGTCCCTGGAGGGTTAGGGTTTTGGCCTGTGCAAGGGACAAAGTTTTCTCTCTCCATCCCCAGGTTACCATGAAAACGGAGTGGTGAAAGCGGAGAACGGCACCTCGCCACGAACCAAGAAGCTGAAATCACCATAGAAGCAAAGGCTTGTCTCCTGGGGAGGAGGGCGAGATACCGGGACTAAGAAGCAGCCCCTCCTCCTGGTCCTCACAAGCATCATCTTGAACGGCTTGGAAACCGGTCATCTTCCCAAGGTGTCTCTCGCTCTCCTCCCTTCCTTTTTTACTTTCTTGAACCATTTGCAATAAAACCAAAAAGGTCCTTTTCCCCTGCTCCCTTCCCCTCGTAGGAACCTTTTCCAGCCCTCCTGGTTTTGCCTTCCTCTGTTTCATCGTAAATCAGTGTGCAATTTTTTTCTTTTGTATTTTAGTGTTTGGTTATTTTGGATTATTGTTACAATTGCATCGTAGATGGTTCCAAAAAGTCCTTTTTTCTTCTACAGCGTGTTCCTCCCCTCTCTCTGTGGTGCTTCCCTGAGCCCCGGGGTCAGGGCCGTGGCAGCTTGAAGGCACCATGTGTCTGTTATGGGAACAGGCTCCTAGGGGAATGCGCTGGGGCTCTGTGACCCTGAGGCTTAGGGGTGCTCTGGGGCGAGGGTTGCCTCTCCTGGGGCACGTCTGGCCAGCGCTTGGCAAGTGCCACAGGATGGTGGTGCTGCAAATAGAGACCAGGGTCTGAGGGAGGAACCTCAACCGTGCCTTGTCTCATGGTGGACTTCTGGTTAAGTGGGGTTTCTCTGACCCCTAGTTTTGAGCTAATTTTAGAGAGCCGGGCAGCGGAGGAGGGAGAGAAGTTCCCTCTTCATATAGGACCCATCTCCTAGCCTTTGCTTGCCCCAGCTCTTCTGGTACAGCTGGGTCCCTCTTACCCTCTTGGCTGCAGGAGGTGAGCTGCCCTGTAGTTCTGGACCTCGCAGCCCCAGGAGCTGGGCTTGGGGCTCTGCAGCTCACAGTGCCTTGTTGTGGGGCAGCAGCATCCTCAGGTCCAAGTGAAACCTTGAGTCCTGCCCCACTCTGAGCGCTGGCCTGGCTCCTGTCAGCCCCGGCCCTTTGCCAGCTTGCGTGTGCCTCGTGGACCTGGTGTTCTCATGGCTTGTGACCACGTCCAGATGACAAACTGGCTGCTGCAAAGGGTTTTTGCATCAATGGGACTGTGCCCCTCATGCTGTCACCTTAGCCTTCCTCGTCCCTACCGTACCAGTCCAGCCATGCCATCAGCAGCCACCAGCTTCACTCTTTGTTTCCAAAGGATACAGAGCTTGTATCCACCCACGGTGCTATCAAATGCAGGGTTTCTTCCAAAAAACCTAGCCCCTTCATCCCTTTCTGAGCTGTGAATGAGATGACAGGGAAGGGGAAGGAAGCCGGGGCTGCAAGGAGCAGCTTGCATATTAGGAAAAGCCTGACCTGTGACGCGTAGCTGTTGGCAGATGGAGTTGTCTCAAATCTACCTCAGAGGCCATCTGTTGCTGCAGACCACTTTCCCCTCTTGCACCTGCCCGCTGCCACCTGTACATGGTGGCAGGAGATTCGTGGGAACCCCAGATCCCACTGGCTCAGACCCCTGCTGCCTCTTTGCTGGGGAGCAGCATCTCCTGCCCAGGGTTTTGTGGGTCAGTGCCAGCTCGCTGAGCTTTGAGGTGCCATGCACCAGTCTCGATTTGCTAGGCGTGCAGTAAACAGGCATCTCTCACCCCACATCTCTCCTCTGGGGCAGTTTCTGTAGCTGGGCTTTGCTGTTGGTGCCTCTTGTGCAGCGAAGCCGGCTGTAGCTTTCGTTCTTCACTGCGGCAGGAGCAGGCGAGTGGTGTGCTCCCTTGGCTGGGCAAGAAGAGGGGGCACAGGGTTGCGGGGAGCTTGGATGCTCTTCGATACGCAAGCCAAGATTGAGGTCCACCTTCCTTGCGGGTGAGGGAGGCACGTGGTCCTTAGTGTGCCTCTTGTTCAGCGCTTTGGGCAGCCGAACTCTGGCTCTCTCGGAGTGCAATTCTAGCTTGCGGCTGGCGCAGTTGTCTTTCGCATCATTTGTGTTTTAGGGAATGTGTGACAGTTGATTTTCTGCCTCTTGGAGTTGGGCCAGGTGTTTTTCCTCCTTCTGTACGCGTCTTTTCTCCCTTCTTCCCCCTCTTCTCGTTGAGCCCCAGCTAACACTGGGCACTGGAGGGAGAAAATGTGCAGGGATGTGAGGACAGTTGGTCAAATTCCACTTGTTCCTCCATCCCCACGACCTCTGAGTCCCAAAGGAGAGATGTCAGCAGGACTCTGGGAGAAGGATTCCCCCATTTTCAGGGGAACTGAGGAAGGAGGCTTTGGAGCAGAGCCCTTGGTGGTATCTTGCAATTGCTCCTCATAGCCCTTGCTGGGTAGATAATATACATTTTGGCTCAACCAGAGGCAGCAGCAGTACCTGCAGTGTGATGTGATGAGAGGGGGGGAAAAGAGCTTTATGTTAGGGAGGACACGGAAAAGGTCTAGCGTGAGAAGTTTTTCCTTTCTCCTGACTATTCCCATCCGCAGCCATCCACTGCCACGTGCCCTCCGAGAGCGACTGCTGGCCGGCATCTCTCCAGAGCCTCAGCCGGTCCTTTCTGCAAAGCCGGTGCCTCGCAGCAGCTGAGGTATTGACTCTGTTAACAGGTGACACATACAGTCCCCCAAAAACTGGCTGCTGAAGGATTCCTCCTCCTGCCTGCTTCGCTTCAGGCAGCTTTTCCACTTGTACAATCCTGCATCTTCATAAAGTAGCTAATGATGCTTTGTATCCCAAGTGCCTTATGTTGCCATGTAGTCTCTTGAATGCTTGATCTGTGTACTATATCAGTAGCTGAACGCCCTCCCTCTTTACAATGTATGTACAACATATGCTACATTTATGTGTTTTTTGTTTTCTTTTTGATAGAGCTACCAGTAAAAGGGACAGTTTGTTTTGGAAGCATTTCCATGTGGTTTTTTTTATTTTTTTTTTAACCTGTAGATGATGGGCCTTTTTTTGCCCTCCCTTGTCCTTAGTCCTCAGAAGTCCTCATTCTTCTCCTGTTATGCCCAAGCGTGGCAGGATCCCTGGGGCCTTTTTTTTGAGCTGAGCCTTTGCTGTAAGGCAATATGCGCTGTCATCCCAGAGGTCTGCAATCCACCCTCCATTGGAGGGGCTGCCACGGGCTGCTTCTGCCTCTGTCTCGTAGTGTGAGCACCATCCTTCAGCTGCAAGCCTGCAGTAACTGCTTCTACGTCCATGTCCTTTCTCAGCAGACCGAGCCTTCTCCTCAGCCCAAAGAGCTTTTTCTTTCCCAGATGGAGTATTTTCATTGCAAGCCCTTAGTGGTCAGTCTTCCCTTGACCACTCTGCGTACAAAGGTGCCGAGAGCCCACTTTCCTTGAGTGGGTGCTCTTCTGGTGCCCCATCTTGTCAAGCCCTGTGTCTTCTCCAAAAAAGACTCAACCCCAAACAGGAGCTCTTGTCCACCACAGTGCAGCAAGTGTTAGAGACTATGCAAAACTGGAAGTCTTTACTTTCAGCGTAACGCTATTGCTTGCACCCTTCCTGTGGCCTTGAGGCTGCTTTTGTAGTCTGTGTCCATTATCCAACCTAAGAAGGCCGGGGATCGAGTAGTCTGTGAGTTTTGGTGTCAAGCGTAGTGTTTTCCTGCCCTCGCCTACAGGAGCTGTGAAATACCAGCAGTAGTTCGTCTTTTTGTCTTAGATAGTTGGGGAATGGGCTTGGGAAGAGAAGGGGACAGAGGAAGAACAGATGTAGCATTTCACATATAATTTTTGAGTGACTCTTATGTTATGGGGCATTACAGTTGTGTTATTTTTTTGTTGTTTAGGATTCTTCTTCTTACTTATCATGTTTGGGTTAGTAGTAAAGAAGACAAGTTCCAGTTCCCCTATAGGTCCCCTTCCCCTTAACTCACCACTTTAAAATGTATTTTTGGTAGGCTTCCCGGTTGGAGGGAAGAACGACTACTCTAGGATGCCTCCCCCTTGCCTCCAAGTGACTCTCGAAGCCTGTAGCTACCCTGCCTTCGCTGCAGTGCCCGGGGGTTTACAGCAGCCTCAGTCTCTTGCCTTAGGTAAAGTCTTGGTAGATGGACCCCGACTTGCATCAACAGTAGATGGAGATTATGGGGTTTGAGTTACAGCCTTCTGGTAAACTTCACGAGTGTGTAATAGATGGTTTGGCAGGCTGTATATTTAAACTGTGAAGTATGTTACTTCGCCTTGGGGCTGCACATGGGGTTTTGCTGGCAGCGGGGAAGAACGGCTGTTGTAAAAGCCAGGCAGAAGCATGTAGTTTTTTTCTTTGAATATGTTGAACTCGACGGACCAAACTTCAGCAAAGGAACTCAAGGAAAATTTCTGTTCTTCCATATTTATGCTTTAGTGCAAATTTCCTAATTTTGGAGGGGGTGGGGGGAAGTAACCGTCTCTGATATTTTATCCCATTTGTTTCATTCTTCCTGTCACTTAAGTTTTTGTACGGATTTTGTTCGTTGTTGTTTGTTGTTAAATGACTTTTGTGATAAACTCAACAAAAGTATTTTTCTGAAATAAATAAATAAAAGGCATAGATTCTTCCGTTGCTGCTATCTGCTGATGCTTTATCACTCTGCTAAGCTGTATGCGTTTCCAGAGCAAGCTGCGATGGGTCGTACTTGTCGCTCTCCTGCCATACCAGACTAGTCTGTTCCCTTCGGCGCAGCATCTTGTGTCCTTGCGTTCCCCGCAGCTGGGGTTCATCTTCTTGCTTTTCCCATGTCTACAGCATGGGCAGCTGCTTCTGAGTTAGTCATCTGCGGCTGCCTTCATCGTTGGGAGTGGAGGATAAGGGCATTTGTAGGATATGATTTATCTGATGTGGTTTAGGTGCATACTTTATGGTGAGCTAAATTGTATACTTTCTGCAGCTGGCCCCGGGCATGCTACATGATTGGATGAGTATTAGGTTACAGTTTCATAGCATGTGCAGAAAACAGTTTCTGACTTTCTTTTCTACAGCCTACAGCTCCAGTAATCTCATCTGTAAGTTCTTGGTTTCTGGAAAAGCCGATTAAGGTGGCCTTTAGAAGTTAGCCTTTGTCAGCTGCCGCTTGGAAGGCACCTCGTGCAATGCCGAGCCGTGCTTTGAAATCCGAGCTGGACCTCAGAGAGCTGTAACGTTTCTCATTCGGAGTGAGCAGCAGCACAAAATGGGCCCAGAAGGGAAGAGAGGTGACCTTTCCGATTTTTTGGTGACCTTTCCGAAGAGGCAGGAGGGAGCTGTCATATGGAGACTATCAGCTGTCTGAGGGGAAACGGGAAT